CACAGCATTCCCGTGATTGTCACAGCCCCGTTTTACGGAGGCGGACGTGAGGCTCCACCAGGAAACTGCTTCGTTCTCATGGAGCCCCCGGTTAAGCCCAGGTGCTCTAAATTGAAGCTCTGGTCTCTTTCTGTTCCACACCTGCCTCCCCAGCAAAGGTGGATATATATTAAAAAAAGAGGTATGGAAATATATCCAAACGTCGCAGGCAGCTCACATGTTTTGTGTTATCTTGTTTTTCCAAATGGGCGATGGCAGCGGGAATAGCAGGCTGACTCCAAGGAATGCGCGGGTTGGACACTGCGCTTCGTTCCGTGGTGCCGTGTGTGTGGGGTTTCCGCCGCTCACATTTGCTTCAGAGAACACGTGCTCTCCCAGAGCGTGGCTCCCACGCCAGGATCTTAGAATTGCACCTGCTTTACTGACAATGGTCCTGGCAGGACAGTGGTTATCAGAGCAGAGATTGTGATTGCTCCAACAATATCTGAACGCAGGATTTGCATGTTTGCCCGGCACAAACAAGTCTCGTTGACAGGAAAGAAAAAGAATTCTCCGTCTAAGCTTGTTTCGGTCTCAGTGGCAAAAGAAAGGGCTTTTTATGCTTTGTGCGCCGTCTTAATACTCAACAGAGGTTGCCTTCCCGCCCCCCTCCCCCACGCCGGGGCATATGAGATCTTTGCTGTGGAGTTGATACTTTAGAACCTTCACACTTAAGGAAATAAATTACACTCCTCGTCTTCTGTTCCCTCAAATGGTAATGTTCTGTTTATTGTGTTGTTGAGGTTTTACTAGAGCAATGACTGGGCACTGGGCATTCCCCTAAGCTCTGGAGAGCCGTAGATGGACAGGACGCTCTCCTGCCCCCGAGTTGCTCTCACTGTAGTGGGGGCAGCTGACCTGTGCCCACACACATGTGGTCTCCACAGGGAGCCCACAGGAGGGGACAGTCAGGTAGCTGGATTTTGTTGTTGTTGTTGTTTGGGGGGTAGATAACTCACATACCATATATTCCATCATTTAAAGTGTAAAACGTGGTGTTTTTTAGTATATTCACTAAGTTGTGAAACTATCACCACTGTCTAATTCCAGAACATTTCCATTACCACGAAAAGAAACCCATGACTGTTAAGCACTTCCCATTTCCCTCTCCCTCTCACCAACCCGCTGGCAACCACTAATCTACTTTCCAGATTACTACTTTAGTCTCCGTGTATTTGCTTGTTCTGGACATTCCATGTAAACAGAATGATACACCATGTGATCTTTTGTGTATGGCTTGTTTTACATAGCGTATACGTTTTCAAGGCTCATCCGTGTCATAGCATGTGTCAGTACTTTATTCCTTTTTATGGCCGAATAATATTCCGTTGTGTAGACACACCACATTTTTTTATACATTCAGTTGATGGACATTTGATTTCACCTGGATTTTGAATAAAGAGAAGGTTTTGCCAGGCATGGAAGGGAGGGTGCATGTGGTGAGTAGCACAGTCCTTACTGAGTGCCAGGCACGTTTTGAGCCCTTTGCAAATACTACCTTTCTGAGTTCTCATTACAGCCCCGTGAGGTGGTGTGCGAGGCACAGAGAGGCAAAACACTTTCCCCAGGTCACCAGCCAGTACGTGGAGAGCTTAGGGGCCAGATCCAGACAGTCAGGCTCTGGAGTTTTCCTCTCCACTGCCCGGCTCTGCCACAAAGGCAGGGTCATGGGGCACGGGCAGCCCAGGCCGTGGGCCTGTCTAGATGAGGTCAGAGGGCAAGGTAGGGGTGTAGGAGAGAGTGAGATGTGAGGCCAGAGACGTGTATCCTCTGCTCAGCAGTCATCTTTGTAAAGAACACATCTGACCATGTCACTTCCTATTGAAAAACTGTCCCTAGTTCTCCATCTTCCCATTTAATTTCTCAAAACCAACCATGTTCTGCTACTTTTACAATGTTCCCCATGCCTGTGTTTCACCTATATCATTGTTTAAGGAATACTTTTCTTTATATCAACACACTGTGGTTTTGCTTAAATACACCTATTTAAAGTGGAACTTGATCTCACTGCCTTACATGGAAAGTATTTTTCTAACGTGCATTGAAATAAAACAAACCACTAAAATGAACTGCCTTTACTCACCACCTCCTGAAAGCAGCTTGCGCACCAGCGCGGCATGTCTTCCGCTCAGCACTGAGGAATGGGGCTGCGGGGTAAGGTTCGCACACTGCCCTGGGTCCTGCAGAGCCGGGCCTCAGCCTACGCCGCAGCCCCGTATCCGGTTCCCACACTTGGTATCATGCGACTGTCACATCCCGTGTGCTTCCCTCCTCCCGGGACTCGTGCTTTTTCATCGTAATGTATTGTTCCTGGGATGGTCCTGCTGCCTCTGTCTCTGTGCTTGGAACCAGCTCAAATAATGACTCCTCTTTTTAAGTCTTCTCATGTCCTCTGGGTTCCTCCAGGCCTTGGCTCTGAGATGTCTTCTCTGATGTTGCTTCTCTCCTTTGTTTGCCATGTACCCCTATCCGACTGTGAGGTGCCTCAGGACAGGGAACACTGTTTGTTGAATGAATGAACGATGGACTAGGACCAAAAGGTAAAGACCTTGAATATGGTCTTGAATGCAGCATTCTCAAATCATAGAACGTTGTAAAACAAACAACATCATCAGTGCTGTTTTTAACAAAGTTGAGTGTGTGGTTGGTTATGTGGAAGTCAAAAAAGGAGCGAGATCCTGGAGGCAGGGAGACAGATGTGAAATAAGCACTCATTAAATTGTCTGGAGCCAAAAAAAAAGAAAGTTTCCACTAAAACAGAAAATACACACAACTTTCGAGGCAGCCACTCAAATCCCAGGTATGTACCCAACAGAAATATGTACATACGTTCACCAAAAGACAGGTTTAACAATGCTTTTTGCAGCATCACTGGAAATACTGCCAAACTGGAAGCAGCATAGGTATTTATCAATAGTAGAATAAACTGAAACCAACCAACCAACCTGTGGTGTATGCCTTCAGTGGGATGCTACTGCCTGTATATGAGAACGAACACATATTACTGCAAGGAAAAATGTGCTCCAAGTTCTCAGACAGAATGTTCAGTGGAAGAAGCCAGACCCCCTGGAGCATCTGTTGTAAGACCCCCGCTTCCATGGCGTCCAAAACCAGACAAGTGCGTCTGTGGTGTGCCGAGGGAGGAGAGCGGTCAGCCTTGGGCAGGCAGTGAGGAGGGGACCCCGAGGGGGACTTCTGGGGTGCTGCTGGGACACGTATTCAGTTTGTGAAAATTGATCGAGAGGTATTCTCATAACTTGTGTGTTTTCTGTACAGTGCTATACTTCAATGTAAAGTTTACATTTTAAAAACTAGAAAGAAATAAAAGGGATTACTTTTTTTTCAGATTAAGAAGCCTTTTCCAGAGGGAAGTAAAGAATAGACTTAGTGAAAAATACACTGAGAAACTAATGATAAATCTCAGATCCTGAGATGCTTCTCTTAGTTTTCATTTGGTGTAATTGTCTTGGGATATTTATCTGCCATGTTTTAGCTGTGAAAGTAATAGCTACTAACAGTTGCATTTGTTTTACAGCATTTAAACTGTATAGGGTCATTATTCTGTTTCATCTTTAGAACATCTCTATAAGAGTTCATTATTATCCCCATTTTCCAGATAAGGAAACTGAGGCCCAAAGAGGTTTCTTAAATTGCCCTAAGTCCCAGGGCAAGTGACTGAACTGAAACCATTTCCTCTAAGTCCTGTCCCACCACTGGGCCCCCCGGGAGGTTGGCAGTTGGACTTGGACCATGAGTCTCCACAAACAGAGAGGGGTGGGAGGCTGGCAATAAATAGGGAAAGAGTGGTGAACCATCCACGTGGTAAATCCACAATGGAAGTTTTGTAACTAATTCTGTCAAGCCAGTGGACAAACAAAGCTTTTTTGGCATGTAACTTAAATTCGTTGCTTTTTTGGCTGCTTTTCTGCTTAAATAATTAGGGGTCTTCAGTACAAATGAAGTGACCCCTAGTTGACACACAGAGAATGCCGTGATCTTGGTTAAGTTTAATCGAAAACCATTTTGGCTGCCTTCAGTTAGCACTCCGCCGACACAGACTTTCCAGGAACGGTGGTGGACTCATCCACATGTTTCCAGTTGGACCGGGCCACGGGGACTTTCTGGTTCGACATTCCATCCAGTGCAGAAGTGCCTCTGCAGCATTATGATAATCGCGATCTGATAAACATGTGCCCTGTTTCCCATGTAAACTATCCCCGTTTTACAGATCAGCACGTAGCCTTAGAAAGGTTAAGCAGTTTGCCCTAAAACGCTCAGATCATTACAGCAAAACAGATCCTGACATGGGCCTTTCTGAGCCCACAGGAGGGGGTTTCACGGCTGTGCTACCTCACTGCTTCCACCTTGGCCTGAGAGTCCTGCAGTGACGGGTGCGCTGTTTCCCTGAGACACCTCGGGCCGGGAATGGGAAACCCTATGGGGAGGCTCTCCCTCACACTGAGCAGGAATCTTCTTTCTCACAACTTTCATCCGTGAGGCCTAGCTTTGTTCGTAAGAGTAATACCACTTCAGATCCCTCCTTTGTGGTGAAAGGCACCCTTCTAGAAGTGTACTTAATTTATTTTCAAAGAAATAACATTCTTTAAAAGACTTACTTATTTATTTATAGACAGGGGAAGAGAGGGGGAGAAACATCAATATGTGGTTGCCTCTTATAGACCCCTACTGGGGACCTGGCCTGCAACCCGGACATGTGCCCTGACTGGGAATTGAACTAGCGACCCTGTAGTTTGCAGGTTGGCGCTCATCCACTGAGCCACACCAGCCAGCACCCCCCCCGCCCCCCCCTCCCCCGAGAAGTTTACAGTGAGGGGTTACGTTAATAGGTCCTAAAATGATGCATACATGCCAGTGATTCTAGGTGTACAATAAATTACCCCCTATCTTAGTAAGTCAAACACCCACCAGTGAGCACCTGTCATCTCTCATGATTTGGGCAGGTCTTCGCTGGGAGCTGCTTCTGTGATACCTGCATCAACAGGGGGCAGTTGGTGATATTCAACTTGTGGCTAATCCGACCCAAGAATCCTTGGCAGGATCAGTCTCAAGCCTCTCGGTAAGTTCTCTTTTGCAGTTGGACTTCTTACACGTCAGCGAAGCATTCCAGCGTCAAAGCTGCCGGTCTCTTTGGGCCTGGGCTTGGAAACTGAAACAGTGTCACTTTCAGGTCAAAGCAGGCACAGACCCTACCCAGTTCAAGTGGAGGGACACAGACCCCACCTCTCCATGGGAGGAGTGCCAGGTTGAATGTGCCTTGCTAAGGATCAGATTCTTTTAATCCCCTGGTTCCTGGGTTGGTACTACCTGTTTCAGTTTCAAAGTCCTTGTGCTGAACTTTTTATTTTCTCTATTTTGGGGCATTTGAATTTTTGGGACTTCTTTTTTAAATCACTGTTTTAGTTATATAGCATAATCTTTATCAGTACTATTTGCTGAAGTTAAGGATGATGAGCCCACTAGGGTGATAGTCCTATAAGCATAGAGCTTCCTTCAGACTGATGGACAAAAGACTTTCTGATATAATTCGTTTGCAATTTAGACACGTATGAGCAGAGAGCAGAAGGGTGCTGGATATTAGGTAGAAAAAGAATGTGGGAACCCTTAATCAAAGGGTTTTTGTAAGAAGCTTAATACTCTTACCCTGTTACATAATTTTCCATTTTTCAGCCCTGCAGAGCATTTGTGAAGTTTTGATCCTTTAAAATAGCATTTTAAAATTCTGTAATTTTGGTCATTGATAGGTGTACTTTGTTTTCCATTGGAAATTGAGGCAAAATTCAATGGCTTATTCCTCTCCCTATATTAGCAGAACGGGTTAATTGAAATGATTTCTAATCTTTTGATCCCTGTCACACTCCTCTGCTATGCAATAATACACTAAGGAATTTCCAGAAATCAACTGCTGGGGACCTAACGTAGCTCCCTGCTCTAAAAGTTTGCCATTTTGTGGAGTTGTGCATGCAGCCGGCATGCGAACTTGACCAAAAGGTGCTGTTTCAGAAAACAGAACATGCCGTTTGCAGAAGTCAAATCAAGATCCTTTGGATAAGAGGCATCAATTCATTGTTGCCAGGTGCTGGAGCTCCTGAGGAAAACCTTTTGTGGGGATTTAAAGTGAAATAATAGGTTTTTCATGGACAAATGTTGTTTATCTAATTTATTTTTTACTGATATGTAGTCATTACTGCAGAGTTGAATCTGAGCAATGTCATTTTATATCCCTTGGTTTTGTTGTATTGAAGTATTTCAGACCGGTGGAAAAGTGCAGGGAACGGTACACCAAACACCGCTGTGTCCGTGATCCAGCATAAAGAATAAAACACCAGAGAGAGAGTCAAAGCCCCTCGTGAACTTCACCCCATCCGCCCCCTTCCTTCACAGGCGTGGCCTCTGCCCTGACTGCAGGGGTTAGCGTTCCCTGTTATGTTTTCTTGCCCCATATGTATGGGTGCATATGGTATGTACCCATAAATAACACGTAGGCTGTTACATTCTTAATTGTTGGGGGAAATCATCAAAAGGAGAATAATTTTTTGTGACACTTGGAAATTTCATGAAATTCAAATTTCAGTGTCCATAAATCAAGCTTTATTGGCCCACAGTGTAAAGACATATTGTCTCTGGCCGCTTTCCTGTAATGTGGCAGATCTGAGTAATTGAAACTGAAACCGTGTGGCTGGCAATGCTTAAAATATTGACTCTGACCCTTTACAAAAAATACTTGCCAACCCCTTGCCTAGCATGTGCACACTCACATGCACAAGGTAAGTAATCTGGCTAGAGAAAGGTCCATAGGTAGGTATATGTGCCTTGGCCAGGAGAAGGCTGAAGTGGACAAATGGCTTTTTTTAATAATATCCCAGAAAGTCTCCTTTCCTTTCCTCTTGTCTCAGGAGGACAACAGTGATTGAACTTTTCCCTTCCAGCCCCGGCCCCTGAATGATTAGGTCTTATTCCTCCTCTTTAAGCTTCTTTTCCTCTAGCTCTCAGTTTCCCAGCCTCATGCCTACGAAACCAGCAAATTCCCTTCGTCCTGTGATAGACAGCACTGCCCCAAAAATAAGAATCATCACCTCCCCCTTCCTCACAGCTCTCAGCAGTGTGCTTTGCCTGCATCTTTCAATTGGCGCATTGAGTTTCCTGGTCCTTCCCTTGTCTTCTGTCTCTTAAAACTCCAGCGTAGCAAGGCATCACATCCACGCCCGAGACAGAGAGGCAGGTGAAGGTCGGCAAGAGGAAGTGAGCCAATGACCTTTTAAACAAAAACTAGATAAAGAGTTCGAGATACCTCAGTTTCTTTTGCAGTATTAGTAATAATTCCTCTCCCTTGCTTCTTTAATGATGGATCTTCCCCTTTTCCAAGCTAGAATTATGCAGATAATTGTCCCAATTGATTATTTGCTTTTCCAGTAGTAGCTGAATAGTGAGCGGTGCTAAGCATCAAGGACGTGCCCTGTAACGCGATGGTGAGCTCCATCGGCTTGGAAGCCAGGAGTCCGTCTGTTAGCAGTGAGACCTTGGAGTTTCCTTAGCAAAGAAGAGGAGAATGGCCATCTCTGGTGTCTGCCAAAAAAGTAGAATGCAAAGAATAATAATAGTCAGTCTTCAACCTCAAGGTGCTTTTAAGTGAAATAAAACAATGAACGATAGAAAATGATAAATACTACAGGGCAAAAAATCAAATTAAGGATGTGGTCAAGGTTACAAGAGAAGTACAGAAAAGGTATTGGAATGGGAAGGAGGGACAGATGTTTCCACTCTAGGAACACTCCGAAGGGCTTCTTGAGGAGTGGCAGGGAAAACAACAAGGATTCGGATCAATGGAATTTAGAGCAAGAAAATTCTGGGCCTTGGGAAGAGCCTGAGCAGAGGTGCTGAGGCAGAGAGAATCAGGTTAGAAGCAAAGAGCAGGGAAACTTGGTTTGACCATCTGTGAAGGGAAGGCGAGGGAGAGGGGAGGATGGCTGTGAGGACTAAGGCTTGGTCGGACAAGGCTGTGGCGCCGGGTGGAGGAGTTCGGTAGCGATGATGGTTTCTGCGCTCCTGCCTGCATTGTGTGTGCCTTGGCACGAGAGCTTTTTGGGTCTGAGCTCTGTCCTCAGCTCTAGAAGACTGCCATGCCACGAGGCTTTGACTTCTCCTATCTTGGTCCGACGTCACTCCCTGCGATTTGCTATCTCAGTACAAAAAATGTGAAAGGCAGGCAGCGCAGCATCGCCCAGTGGCCCTCATTTCCCCATTATCCCTTTCAGATCAAGAGAAATATCCTGACTGCAGTGGAATGTGCTTGCTCTTCCACAGCTCTAGCTGCAAAAAGAGGCCAGAGTGGAAACTTTCATATCTGAAGTGGATGGAGGAGGGGAGAATGATGATTTTCTGAACTATTCCCTTAGACTGGTAGGGACGTACATGTGTCATGACTTCAGGTGCATCTGAAGTGGCCTTGCGTAGCCCTCCTTCCTTTAGCCAGGTATTATTTAAGGCTTTTGTTTGTGAGGAGAGTTCATTGAATAAAAATTTCCTTTACTGTTCTTACATTAAGGTGTGTCCCCAATTGTTTTTATTGATACTAAATTGGATAGGGTGGTTATTAAGTTAAGTTTTGAGTGCCATTTCAGCGTGGACGGGAAGGGGCAGGGATTCCCAGGTGTGCACAGCCTGAGTCCTGTGTCAGGACACTCTGGGTGTGAACCTGGGAGTCTGCAGTGTTACACAACCATCACCTCGATCTAGTTTCAAATGTTTTCATCCCTCCCAAAGGAGACCCTGTGTTTATTTCCATCTGACCTTCCCCTGGCCCCTACAACCACTTATCTGCCTCCTGTATCGATGATTTACCTGCTCTGGTATTTCGTGTAAGTGGAATTATTCAACAGGTGGGCTTCTGTGTCTGGCTTTTTTCACTTAGCGCCATCTTTTTAAGGCTGTAGCAGGTAACCAGTACCGCATTCCTGGCTATCCGTTGTGGACATTTGTGTTGTTTCCACCCTTCGGCTGTTGCTTTTTTTTTTTTCCTCAATCTTCACTCGAGGATATGTTTATTGATTTTAGAGAAAGAGAAAAGGAGACATAGAGAGTGAGGGAAACATCAGTGTGAAAGAGAAACCTCGGTTGGTTGCCTCCTGTACACAGGGATCAAACCAAGGCATGTGCCCTGACCAGGAACCGAACCTGCTCCCTTTTGGTATACAGGACAACGCTCCAACGAACCGAGCCACCCGGCCAGGGCAAGGGCTGTTGTTTTTTGAAGTAACCACGCCTTAGCTAACTTCCGATCACCAAATGAAGGCAGTGTGTCGTCAGCTTAGAAGCCAGGGCCCTGGCCCAGGAAGAGGGGCCTCTACCAGGACTGCTCAGTGCCCCTTGCGAAGAGGTGGTGAGTGGGCAAAACGAGGCCCCCAACTTGTGTTTGCTCTTCCTCGTATTGTCATCTTGATCGTCTTTAACAACTCCATCAGTTGCCCACGTTTAAAATTTAAGAGATGCTACCCCCTACACACGTGTCTGAATGTCTGTCTTACAAAAACAAAAAAAACAAAAACCAAAACCAAACAGACAAAAACCGAACCTTTGGCAGTACCTGACACATCTGCCTGGCAGCTGACAGCTGGAGTGTGGGCTGCCCCATTCTGCCCCTGGAGGTTGGGGAAAGTCCCTCCCAGCGGTCATAGCCCCGCCCCTTCTCAGTGAGGCCAAAGGTCAGACTGTTCACGTGGCTGTTTTTTCTAATAATGAAGCGACAGGAAAGTGAAAGAGGGTCTCTATCAACAGTAGAAAAAGAAATGAAAGTAGCTGCTTCCCTCCTTGCCTTCCTTGCCCCCACAGGCACTTAGGGTCAGGCCTAAGCAGCTGCTCATCAAATATCAGAATTTTTGACGGCTCACGAGAGGGATGGGAGAGACTGAAAGAGCGCAGGGCACTAAAGACGCCAGCGAACAGTCCAGCGCAGCCGCCGTCGGAGTGCGGCAGTGCCTCCCTTGCCAGCGCCGGCTGGAGGAGAGGGGCCGTAGCACTTCCATTATTGCTTCTTTTGGTCACCCGCGAACCCTGCTTTCT